ATATATATATATATATATATATATATATATATATATATATATATATGTATAAATAAACTAAGTTTACATATTCTGTCATTTGATCAGTTAGCAGGCTTACATCAATGACTACATCTTTGACGCACACACTGTAAAGCTATAATGTACAAAAATATTATGTTATAGTTATTACATATTCATCTTATTTTTCAGTAGATCTGTAAATTATGTATTTTATAAACTGATCATTAATAATGACTAAGCTATTAATAACTGTAATTCTCCAGATGAAAAAGGCTTGATTAAAGTTCTGCCATTTTAAAGATTTTTCTACAATTTAGGCAGAATTAGGTTAAAGAGAACTTAATTCAGAATGTGTGAATTTCTGTGCGCATCACACACTTTACGAGCGCTCTTGCCTTTTTTTATTATTTCATACAATATTAAATGCATAAAATAAAATGCAAAGAGTTGGCAGCACCTACTAGTAGCCTATATACAATATTTATATGTGCAATATGGAACTGGGCCCGCTGTATAACATAATTTGGTCACAAAGAGAAAATGTCAAGTTCACTATTAGCGCAACGCACAGACAGCAAGCTCATCTGTTAGTCTAAACTACAAGACATTATTTATTATGAATTATAAGTATGTGTTTAAAATAGCATCCTTTGTTGTAGCAACTGAGCCCAATGTTTTGTTTTGTTTTTATTCTGATCCTGCGAAAACTATTTTAAAAAAACAAAAACGAAACAATAAAAAACAGTAAGTGAAAAACATTAATTATTATTATTATTTAGGTCTACAGTAGCTCGGAAACAATCATGCAAACCAGATGCTGCTCGCAAAAGGCTGTCTTTGCTCAGCATCAGGTGCACAACAGCAAGATGTTTGGTAGCGAACTAGGCATTTATTATTATTATTATTATTGTTATTATTATTATTAACATCGTTACTAATATATAGGCCTTGCTTGGAAATAATCATGCAAACTAGGTGCTGCTTATAAATTGCTATCGTTGCTCAGCACCAGGTGCACAGCAGCAGGATGTTTAGCATCGAACTGACCTTATTTTAATGACAAATGTCTAATAATACTGCTAATTTACATTTTTATTTAATTTATGCATACACAATGAATGTAGGCCTGCTAACTGTTCAAATGACAGAATATGTAAACTTAGTTTATATATAATTAAATAATAATAATAGTTAAAACCCTGGGTGCTCAGATTTGGTTAACCAATCAAAGGAAAGTTGGGGTTTCAGCACCGCCTACATGTGTAAAATGAATTTTGAAGTTGTTTATCCGTTTTCCTACCCTAAATAAAAAAAAAGAAAGAAAATCAAGCCAAAATCTCGTTTTTTCGTCTCTTGTGAGCAAATGAAACACAGAAAAATGGCCGTTTTCTCCTTTTCCTTTTTTTGTTTGTAAACGGATATGGATTGGACGGAAGATACCCTGATTTAAGATACTTGACAGTAAAGACAAGTAAAGAAAAAGTCGAAACTGCTGTTTTTTTTTCTTGAACAGATTAACATTCCTTTGGTTTCTATAAAAGAAAAAACGCAGGCTTGATAAAACTTGTTAATGCTTAGCTTTGGAATATAAAATTTAATTAGGGCTGGGTGATATTGAAAAACATTTTTTTTTAACTCAGGACATCACATTTCATATCATTCTATATCGATAATTATTACACATTTTTTAACAATACATTTAGAAATATTAATGTTTTTTGTTATTTAACCAATTTATTTAAATTTACCAACATTATTACCAAGGCAAATAGTTGTCAAAAAAAATATTTAAACAAAATATCTCATCTCTATAATAAAACAAACATAAGTGTTAAAGAGACTCTTAAACTTAATAAATAAAATGTTACAAAGGGTGTGCAAGAGTAAATGTAGATAAACATCTGTAAGGTGTAAATAATACTGATACAGTAAACCTCAAACTCTGTAAACAAAACAAATTATGACAATCAAATCTGAGCTTTCAAGTAAAGGAACCAACCATCATTACTTAAAAACATACTGCAACATTACAGACTGTGAAGCTGGATGACTATGTTACCCCCTATGCTAAAAAAATCTTTCAGATGGTGTGCTAGTGGTTGGGATGCACAAGAAAAGAAACCAAAAAGCCACTCTGGTGACATCCTTATTTATTTACAATAATATCTGCAATACGGCACTCATTTTCACGTGCTGTTGTGCAAGTTGTGCGCCTCCATTGGAAATGCTAAATTTACACCCTAAACTTACTGGCATTGCTTCCAAGGTGCGCGCTGCTCAGCAGCCACATTTTAATAAAACTATAGCTTTCATACCAAACTTTTTTTTTATTTTTATTGACAATGGTGTTTGGTCAATAAATATCAATATCTATTTTATCGCCCAACCCTACATGTAATGTTTACACTTCATTTGACAGGAATAAAAGCTATTTAAAAACAATTCATACACAATTAACTTTTATCAATGCACAGCTATGTGTTTGAATTTGTCTTTTTTTTTTTTTTAAATATTAACATGAATACTCACATGTGATCACAAGATTAAAAATCTTGTCCCTGTTGTTGATCATTAGCCGATAATTGCCAGCATCTGTGTTTCTGGTGTTCATGATGGTCAGAGATCCAGTTTGATGATTCAGAATTAGTCTGTCTCTGAACTTCTCATTACTTTCATAACACTGGACATCTGTACAGATCTGACTGACATCTCCTTGGATTTGAGTGATGAGAACGTCATTAAAATACCATTTAACTCTGTCTTGCTGGCTTAGTTCATGATTGGTATTTAGTGTGACTGCATCTCCCTCCTTTACAAACACAGATTCTATAACCGGACCAGACACACCTGGAAAAGAAATTAATAATTATATTTAATTTACAACCTGGCAATCATAAATGTAATAATTTTAAATTTTTCATAAACTGCCTCAATATAAAAACACAAGACTTGATTATGAGTGTTTTTACTTAAAACAGTTGCATTACAACATGTAAAAAAGATCAAATAAAATACAGGCTGGCTGTGCGCATTTGCGAAACACCTATTTTGTGGAGAGGGAAAGTTGTTTTTTATTCGCACATTCATTTAGTGACAACTTATGATATGCTCCCTAAAAAACATTGAATATTCGATCAAAAAATTACATGCAAGTATTTTTTGACTGTGAACGTAAATTGAGAGTCATTTGTGGCTATGATTTCACTATATAGAATTTGCAAAGAATACAGTTATTAAATTATATTTTTAAGAAGAGGGAATGTGTGAATATAAAACCAACTTTACCTCAGTTTATTTTGTAAAGAGGGAAAATAAAAATGACGTCTGTGTAAGACCAGATTTCATGTCCAAACAGAAGTATTCGCGATAGCTAGCCTTAAAACTAAAATTTTAGTTTTTATTCAGACACACATCAACACATTTTTAAAGTGGTAATATAATGTAAACATTAAGAGCCGCGCCCAAATCAGAATTGCTGTAAGGTCATCAACCTCCGTGAAGTTGGCACCCCATGAAAACAAATAATCCCCAAAACTATGCCATTCGTTTGTGCTACGTTTGTGCTGATTTGTGCCGCAAAAACGAACGTTTGTGCTGGTTTGGGGTCTGAGATATTAAGCATTAATTTTTTAACCGTGTGACGTCACTCTCCACCCCATGTTGCGCAATTGACTTCAAAACAGCACAGGTCGTTTGTGCTCGGTTTGTGCTGGTTTGTGCCGTTAAAACGAACACGGTATCTGTTTTCCTCTTTTAGATATAAGCAAAATATTTCGGGAGCCGTGACGTCACTCTCCACCCCATTTCCTCCAAATCGCACAAAACTGGTATCATTCGTTTGTGCTGGGTACCCCATTTTCTCCAAATCGCACAAAACTGGTATCATTCGTTTGTGCTGGGTTTGTGCTGGTTTGTGCCGTTAATATAAACACTTTATCTATTTTCGTTGTTTAGATATAATCAAAATATTTCGGGAGCCGTGACGTCATTCTCCACCCCATGTTGTCAAAATCACACCAAATGGTCTTATTCGTTTGTGCTCGGTTTGTGCTGGTTTGTGCCGTTAAAATAAACACTTTATCTATTTTTATTGTTTAGATATTGCCTTATCAAAACATTTTAACGGCACAAACCCAGCACAAACGAATGATACCAGTTTTGTGCGATTTGGAGAAAATGGGGTGGAGAGTGACGTCACGGCTCCCGAAATATTTTGCTTATATCTAAAAGAGGAAAACAGATACCGTGTTCGTTTTAACGGCACAAACCAGCACAAACCGAGCACAAACGACCTGTGCTGTTTTGAAGTCAATTGCGCAACATGGGGTGGAGAGTGACGTCACACGGTTAAAAAATTAATGCTTAATATCTCAGACCCCAAACCAGCACAAACGTTCGTTTTTGCGGCACAAATCAGCACAAACGTAGCACAAACGAATGGCATAGTTTTGGGGATTATTTGTTTTCATGGGGTGCCAACTTCACGGAGGTACTTCACCTCCTAGGTAGGGGGCCTCCTCATCCAAATAAAACTGCGTCACAATTTCAGTACATACCAAACATGTACATGCATCCTTTTGAAAGCATAAATATAAGTATCTTTCCTTGAAAAATAAGATCTTTATAAGATACTATATACTGTTACCAGATTGCGGCAACGCCATAGCTCGCTTAGTAGTCGCAAAAACTAAAATCTAGAACAAATGTAACTTAACACATAAATCGCTGTTCATAAAAATCTGTGCGTACGCATAATTCCTAATTATCATTTAAAACAGCGACATCTTAAGAAATATTACATTATTTTACAGTACGTTGTAACAAACGGAATAATAAACTGCGTCACAGCAAATTTTGACCATTCAATAGAGTACAACAAAACAAAGTTCTTACCGGACAAGACGTATGCAAACGCTGTGAGTGTTAACATTTTCATTGTCACTTTCAAAGTCATTGTCTATTAAAATGAAATTAAAAAGTATATAAAAAAACGAAGCCGATTGTCCGGCGAATGAATAAGCGAAAGTGAAAGCTCTTATGTAATGTGATGAGTGACCTTCAAACAAGAATTTTTAACGGCACAGTGTGCTTTCCTGTGTTACTTAACATTATAAACGCGTCTGCTAAAATCTTCAGGGACACCAAAATAAAGTCGCAAGTCGCTTTTTTGAAAATATAGCGCTAAGTTGACCAAACTGGACGAGCAGTGTCTTTGAACCGCTCACACCTCACGCATTCACGCATGAGCAGTAACAAGTCTTCTTCTTGTGTTTTTTTTTTTTTTTTTTTGGTGGTTGGCAACCAGCTTTTTGGTGCATTACCGCCACCATCTGGATTGGAGTGTGATTCAGTTTTTCCAAAATAATTTTTTCTATTGATTACCCTTAGCCAATACAATTTCCTTCCACATATTACATCTATATTACCATATAAACCTAGTCTGGTAAATACTAAATTGTATTACTCAACCCTGTGTCTTTCAAAAAGTTATAAACATATCTAAAGCACACATCACCCGTGCTCAACCTTAGTATGTTCTTAATGTTAGTTTCCACTTGTTTTTCCTGTAACTGTGTGAATAATCTATTTCTTTCTGTGTGATATATTGGGCAGTACATTAATACATGTTCTACAGCCTTCTGGTTGTTATTACATTCACACATTTTATCTGTATGTTTATTGATCATGTGTAATGTATTACTGAGTGCTGTGTGATTAAATCTCATTCTTGTAAACTTGTCTTCTTCCTGTTTGCTTTTCCTTGTTTCCCTACCTCTTCTGACTTTGTTCTGTATGGTGTAGTATTGATGTCCTGTATTCCCATTAATCCATATATGTTGCCATTTTTTCAGTACTTTAGTTTTAACAATACTTTTGATTTCTGACTTGTTGTATTTGATGTTAATGTCTATTGTAGTTTGCTGTGCTGCTTGTTTTGCCAACTTGTCTGTCATTTCATTTCCACTGACCCCTATGGGTGCTGTTACCCACAACAATTAAATGATAACTCCTGATTTTATGAGATTATTTCCCAACTGTACTATTTCATAAATGATGTCCTGCCGTGACTCTGATACTAATTTGTCAGATATTTAAAAGATTCAACATTCTCCAAATTTTTACCTCCCGATCTCAATTTTAATTCCCCTCCCGTTTTCTTTTTGGTAAATAGCATTGCTTTCGTTTTTTGTTTTTTAAATTTTAAATACCCACTTCACTGTCCAATCCTGCACTGTATTTAATATCTGCTGCATTTTCTTCATTATAAATGTTATGTTTCTCCCTCTTTTCCAAATTGCACTATCATCTGCAAATAATGCTACTCCTGTATGATTTTCTATCTAGGTCCCATCAAACAGTATAGAAAACAAAAAAGGGCTTATGATGCCCTCTTGTGGTGTACCATTTTCAACATTGTAAGATTCCCATAAATATACCATTTATTTTTACAATTATGGATTTTTCTGAAAGGAATTCTTTAACCCATCTCAGTATACCTCCCTTAACTCCTAACTGGTTAAGTTTAATTAACACTACATCTCTCCACAACATGTCATAATCTTTCTCGATGTCTAAAAATACTGCTATAACTGATTCCCTGTTTACATGGGCTTTTTAAATATCATCTTCCAGCCTTAAAATTGTCCCTCTACCCATCCTAAATCCACTTTGATAATTTCCTGTCTTTTCTTTAGTTTTAACCCAGTAAACTAATCTGCCATTAATCATTATTTCCATCGTTTCCCCCATATGCGATGTCAAGGCTATCGGTCTATAACCAGTTGGCTATTTTGATATATAACCTCAACAGCACCTCCTTTCCTTTATCAGTTAGATCAGGGGTCACCAATCTCGGTCCTGGAGGGCCGGTGTCCGTGCAGGGTTTAGCTCCAACTTGCCTCAACACACCTGCCTGGAT